TTGATAATAAACATCGGTATTACTTTTATATGCTTTTAAACTTCTACATGGTTTTCTCTACCAACAGTTCATTAATAAAAAATGGATGCATAATTGGAGTTTTGATCTCATTCTCCTAGTTCAAATCAGTCACCTCAATGGCAATCAGATATTAAACACACTTTATTATTCATCAGTGCCTCTGAGTAGAGAAATGGAAAATCTGTTCCAGTTACTATTAAATAAATATTCCCTACTGATAACTAAATGTAGTTATTTCTGATAAATTTATGAAAAAGAAATAAAATGAATATAGATACCTTTTAAAGGAATTCATTAGAAAAACTTTTTCAAGAACCCTGTTAACCTCTTTCAATATCCTAAGGGGCTAGAGCTCACTGACAGCCCTGATGGTCGCTATAGGCCATAATCTCCTAATTCACTAAAATTCTTAATTGCCCATCTAAGCATCTCTAAATGTTTTCTAAATCTTGGGTTATAATAATATTACTTGCTCTAACATATGCAAATTCATTTCCAGTTTTTAACTTAACATTATTAGAGATCATTTTCCAAAAAGAGTTATGCAGCACAAGAGTACAATCTTCCTTCTTATTCTACTATGCAATTCATAAATAAGTCTGAATGTCCAGTACTATCATTCAGTCAAGGCTTTTCTACCCCTGTAGTGACACCAGCAAACATCCATCACAAGTACCCTTGGCTACCAAATTATTATTTCTCCATATTACTCAGATCATAATGTGATTTACCCAGGAACAGGCCATTACTTTTCTTTCCAATGACAGAGACAGACACTCTGTATTAGTAAGATCATTTAATGAAGTTGTTCCGTAAGGACCTTATGTTAGAGCAGTTCAAGCAGAATATACATTTTCCTGTCTCTTAGGGAGTAAAAAAGAATGGCTATGAATTTCTCCTTCCTGGTTGAAGCTCTTTTAATAGACAATAAAGATACCACAATTGTCCATAAAATATTACTGCAGACCTTTTAAATATTTTCACAAATCTGTTCCTTCTACAACTCTATTTTATCCCTAGAGCATTAGCATTAGTATTAATGAATATATATATATATATA